CAGGTGGCGCTGCTGCTGCATCAACAATCAGCTGAGACTCAAACATACAAGAGTGTGTTCTTGTCTCATCTGCACTCAGACAGACAGACACACAGGGAGACAAGCTGGGTTCAAACCTGTGACATGGACACAACTCATATTGATACACAGACATTAAAAACCAGTTATTTGGGGGGAAATTAAAAATGGAATCTTTTTAGTGAACTAAAATTCTAAATGCCATCAGGGTTATCTATCAGAAATAATATCATGTCCCCAACAGTTTTTGTTGTTCTCTTTGTGTCTGTATCTGGTTGTGTTTCCTGTGTTTGGGACTCTACGTTGTGGTCTGATGTGTGGTGGGGTGTCCTGCAGAAAGATACAAGGCACCGGACACAATTCAGAAAAGTTCAACAAGACCTTGGTTGCACTTTATTGGTTCACAGTAACAATCTGCTTACTACCAGTGGCTGCTGGCTTCATCACCTTATGGGGCATTACAAAGTCGTTGCTGTGCAGCTGTTGGGTGCTTTGGGAATAGAGGGGATGGTGAAAAGGGCAGTGAGGGGATCAGGGTCTACAGTTGTACCTGTCTGCTTGTTTAACCTCATTTACCTTTAGATGACTTTCTGTTCTGATCAGAGATCAGTCACAGCAGCTCAAGATATACAAGTATGTTCTGCACAATAAACAAGATATTCAGATATTCAGGATTCAACCTTTTCCTGAAAAGGAGCTGAAAAGAAAAAACTACTGAGGACACGACTCTCTGATTTCACTTTGCGATGACGGAGGAGAAGCTGAAGTCCAAACTCCAACAGAGGGTGAGTGTTGATCACACTGGTTGTTAAGATTGGTGTGTGCTTAATGTGACCCAGTTCACTGGAGTAAATGCTTTTTGTTTGGAACGGTGCCAAGGCTGGATTACCAACCGGGCAAACACTCAGATGCCCTCGGACCCCCAAGGGCCCCAGAAGCCCGAGATTCACTGCATGCCAGCTGCTTTGTGAAAATGTAATAAATTACACATTTCCTCAGGAATCAGAATGTAGAAAATCCTGCAGCTTTAGTTCATTTTGTGGCCCAGTCTTTTAGCAACCCTGTCTCCTAGAAATGACATTTATTTACTACTAATGTGTTTCACCAAATCTGTGCTGAGAGAAACATAATCACTGGATGGATTACATCAAGTTTAGAAGTTTGTTCCCGTGAAGGAAGAACTACATTATTTTAGACAGTGGGAGAGGATGGAGTCACCAACATAATAAAACTACAGTATTACAGTTACACTTAGTTACAGTTTTGTGTAAAACAAAAGCAGATATTGTATTGTGAATATTGTCAGTAAAACAAATTAAATCCTTTATCAGTGAACATTTTACTGATACCTTGTTGCAGATTAGTATTATATAAGCAAGGAGACAGAGTTGCTTATGGAGGTGTCCTGTGCTTACATGGTACATATTCCTTAATAAAGTGGTGTTTAACCATAGATAGATAGATAGAGAGATACTTTATTTATTCAGAGGGAAATTAAAAAAATATTAGTTCTTACAGTTTCTTATCCATATTACCACAATAAGAGCCCAACAGCACATTTTTACCCAGTGGCCCCTAATAGGTTTATCCAGCTCTGGCTAGGGTGACTAGATCCCAACAAACAAAATGTGGGACAAAGAGTTTGTTTGTGTAGGACCCATTAGCAATGCTGTGATACAGCCTAAACTCTTTATTTATAATGTCTTTGTAGTTGGTGCATTTCTTTTTCTTAGTCATGTTTTCTCAAGTTTCTCGTGCACAATGGAAAATATCTTGTGTACACAAGAAAGAATCTGATGAGCACAAGATGTTTTTGGTGTTCAGTGGAAAAGTCTTCAAGAGGACAAACAGGAAGGTTGGAATGATGGTTGAGTGACAGCAGAGGAAAGATCATAAAACTTCAGGTTCTTGAAATTGGAGGTCCATGTTGGCCAGCGATCCATTAGACACGGTCCTGTCTAGCACATCAATGGGAGACAGCTACTATTGTACAGTATGTAGATCTTATACCAAAAAGTGTTGGTATATATAATAACTGTCCTTT